TTCCATTATTTTTATGGAACCCAAAGTTTTTCACTAATACCCGTCTATTTCCCTAAGATCCACCTTAATGTTATCCGTTCATCTACGCTTGGGCTTTTTTAAGCGGTCTCTTTCATTCAGGGTTTCCAACCAAAATTTTGCACACATTTCTCATCGCCCCATTCATGCTACATGCCACCTCAACGCCATCCTCCTTGATTTGATCAAAGTAATTTCTTGGACAAATGACACGTCTTTGAAGGTGGGGAAGAGAAATATGTTCCCACCAGGGATTGAACCTCGGTCATCCATTACGTAGCAAGCCACTCTATTGTATTCTCCGAACTGTCATTGGCCCAATCTACTCATCACACGACCCCACCCCGGGAAATGGGGCGGGGGCGTGGGGGGGGGGCATTGCAGCAAATTGCGGTAGTAATTTAAAGAGCCAATTGCCATGTCACAGAGGAAATCCGCGGTTTGTGCCCGCGGTGCACTAAACTTTCCCAGGACTTCAGCCACCGATAGAAAAACTGTTAGTCAATCCAAGGACCGCGAGCAGACGCTGGACGAATGCAGTTATCAGAAATAAGGATTCGTGAGTGGATCGGCTGTGTCTCTGCAAAACGTGCTGAAAGACGAAGGACAATAAAAGCATACGAAGGAGGAGAGAAGAATTAAGAGGAAAGAAAGGAAAGGAAATACAGGGATCACAAATAAAGACAAAAAGGCAAGGAACAGAAAAAATTGCCTATAGAAGTAAAAACAAAAGAAAGGGAAAAAAGTAAGAAATTAAAAGTGAGAAAGAAGGGCGATAGTCTCGAAAGTTGCAACAAACAAACAAACAAACAAACAAGGAAACAAACTGCTCGTAGGCTACAGTACTGAGCACTGACTTTAGTCTCGTCGAAAAACTTAAAAGTCCGTCGTTCGTGTGTGTGCAGTATCACAACGTGTGATTTTTGTAATATTTCTATTAGTTATGCAGATTTATGCATAGTTTTACAGATTTAAAATATTTTTCACCTCGACTGTGCGTCCTGTTTTATGAGCACAATAACATACAGGAATCCTTGCATAATATTCAATTTTCTTTTGGACAACGAAGAACAAATGGAGAATTACCTATTCCACTGCAAAAAGGAGCTCCGAAGAAACGCAGTTGCTACAGGCACCATACAGTACAGGACAAGAAAAATGAAACAAGAAAGCGACAGGAGACGAGGACTTCACTCAACTTCCTCCGTTCACATTCACCCAGCAGAACACGTACTCGTAAAATAACCGTTACTCGACTTAACGACTCCGTCGACTTGTGTGTCTATCGACGAAATGCGTTCCAACTCACGAAGTCTTAACACAAAAGCTCACAGGTCCCATGGACTTTAAAGTTCACTTCACAGATAAAAGAAAAGGCCTTGCAATATATGCGAGAAGTAAAGTGAATTTTGCATTCAGACGTAATTTGTACGTAGACCCACTGTCCCGTAATGCGTCAGGAAATTTGTGGAGTGACGAACAAAAATCAAGGGTTTTGTAGACCAGCATCCAAAGGCGAACGATTAATTATAGAGGCCTATTTACCACGGGGGGGGGGGGGGGTTTTCCCCTTGTTCCTAATGTTCTGCGAATGTGGAAACATGGAACAATACAGATCATCGAGATAACATTAAGTAAATAAAGTGTGAAAAAAACAACTGCTTAAGAAGCTAAGTTCAGATCTCGACTCGAATTCGGGAACTATATCGGTGTAAGTCTTGAGCCCTGAAGATAGAGGCAGTAGTCTCCAACTTTCTCTGGCGATTTCATACAATTCCCAAAATTCTGAGTAGGGCGCATGAGGACAGACAGGGGTCTGTTGTAAATAACGTGACACTCCTCTCATGTAAGTGTCTGAAAAAATCTTTCGGACGCGCCTTGCACTTACGCGTCTGAAGCCCAGCCACCCTTTGGGTATCATTTACCCATTCCGTCTCGTAATCACTTCCTACTTGCTGAATGAGTTCGCGATAAATTATGTACAAATACGTTTTAAAAATATTGGGCACTGACACAGCGAGACGCTTCACCAAATGCTGACAAGCAGGTCGAAATTTAGACAGGAAGCCTCTTGAGGTAATAATATTAAAAAATTTCTAAAAATATAACGTGAGAGCACTGATTGGATTTATCTGGCTCAGGCCAGGGTTCAGCGGTGAACTCTTGTGAAGACGACAATGAACCTTCGAGTTCCATAAAAGGTGGGCAACATCTTGACTAGCTTAAAGACTATCAGCTTCTGAAGAAGGAGTCTGTGCCATGGAGTTGAATGTTGATACATTTTCACATACACAGGCCTTACACAAGACTTAACAAATAATTAATTATATTTTACGTAGTCGGCAAGCGATAAATGCCAGCTATTGATCCAGACAGCACCCGAAAGGAAATAATCCAATGACGGAACTCTTGTCACAAACTGAGATTTCAGGTTCTCACGGCGGCCAGTATAAAGAAGATTGTTTTTTTTTAATATTGTGCCTTGTAGCCCTGATGATGGTAGCAGCAAGCACCTCTGAAACTTCTGTAAATTTGTACCAGACTACACGGCGCAACAAACCAGAAGAGTCATCATCTTTGTTTTCAGAAACTTTTAGAATCGCTTCAAAAGAAAATCCACGCCAAAAGACCAGATGCAAAATTCGGTTGCCTTTTTCCTGAACATCGCCGTTTCTGCTGGCGCTGAAGCCGAAATGTTGACTCTGGTAGGTGACCACACCGTTTCTGGGTTACAGCTCGAACGTGTTAACTGCCAATGTCACCGTCCTACTTTGAGGAGAAAGAACCGAGACAAACCGGTGGGCGCTGATTCGCATGCAGACCATCTTCCGAAGAACTGCTAGAAAGTTTTGAAATTCATAAAATGTGAGGGGATTGAAGCACTTAGACTGAATTCATTACAACATACTTCAGAATTCGTAAGAGATTTAAAGACGCCATTGCAACTGTAGGAGAGGGGAAACAACATGGCCACCTCCTTTCCTTTCCTTCTTATCCTCTTTTCTTGTTTCTACCTTTGTTTCTTTTCTCAGCAATTCATTCTTCGTTTTCTTTCTTTCAAGTATGGGGAACTCGATTCTGTTTCAAAAGACGTATCATCAAACGCTGCAGATCTTGTGGTTTGAAAATCCTTCACGTGCAGTGAGAGGTACACGTGCCTCTAATTGAAAAGGCCAGAGACTTGATATCGAAAGAGATGTCAGGGGCAGATAACGCTGGAGCCAAAGTCTCTTTGTTACTTTGCTCACGCGACGGACAACGTGGGGCTGAGACTCACGGACTACCTGCGTCTCCAGGAGGGCGAAATAAATCAAATTAGTTCCTGGTGAAGAACAGAGCAAACAAACATCTTCCTTCCACCACCAACCCCTTCACCTTGATAACGATAGACTTAGTAATAAGTCGTCCCTGTGTCTAAGCACCACAAAATGAAGACGCAGAGGTGGATTTGAGGAAATTGTGGATAATGACAAAGTATACGGAGCAGAATCCTTTTGTGAAGCTAACGTGACGCTCAAATAATGAAGAAATTCCTCGCGTTTTATGGAACCAGAAGATTCATCGCCGTGTTCACGACAGCCCAGCGTCGATCTCTATCCTGAGTCAGATCAATCCAATCCACACCCTCCCAAACCCATTTCTCTAAGACGAATTTTAATATTATCATCCCATGTGCGCCCAGGTTTTCCGAGTGGTCTCTTACTTTCAGCTGTCCCAATCAAAAATTTGTAAGTACGTCTGATCTCCTCCATGCGCTCTACATATCTGGCCCATCTCATCCTTATTCATTTGATTATTCTAATAATATGAGGTACAAATTATTAATCTCCTCAACATGCAATCTTCCTCATCTTCCTGTAATTTCCTCTCAGGTACAAAATTCTCCTCAGAACTCGACTTTCAAACAACCACAAACGAGGTGATATTTCAGGTTCTCACGGCGGTGAGTATAGAGATGATCTGGAACCCTGATGATGGAGGCAGAAAGCACCTCTGAGTGCAGCATCCCAGAAGAGAATCGTCTTTGCCCTCAGTCTGCGTTCTTGGTCGACAATGACAGGCGTGGTTTCACGAGCGTACACAAGTTCCGTGTAGGCATATTTTAATCTTCGAGTTAAAAGTGGGTAATGAACGTGAATAATGGTACAGCGTTGTGTGCGTGGCCTTGATGACGTGACTGCAGTTCATACTTCCCCACATCCAAATCCCTTTTTATAAATGATATATTGTGTGAAGTCCCTTACAAAGTACCACTTCGAGGTCACTTGGCCACCGTTCTCTTGTGCGCCTCACGTCTCGACTCCATACGTGACACGACCCATTTCTAAAATTCCCGTTTCTTAATTTTTTACGATACTTTCAAATGTCGAGATCACACAGCTTCTAATGGATCGGGAATATAGCCGTGAATAGCGGATAGGTCTCGGTGGAGACCGTCGTGGCCTATTTCAAGGTACTATACCACCCCACATAGAGGACAACAGGTACCATCGTAATCAGGTTGGAATTTAAAACCAATACCTCCAAAAATCAAATCCAGAGATTGACCATTCACTTTTAAACAAATGAACAGATGAATGTAAGGATATTAAAATCAAGTACGATGAGACAAGCAAGCAGCGCGTTGGGGAGAGATAAGAAATACGTATAAAATTTTGGCTGAGAAACCTGACGAGACCACGCGACCTAAGCGTAAACGGGAAGATGTTATTAAAAAGAATCGTGGGGAAACAGAGTTGAGGATGTGGAGTAGATTCGTTTCATTCAGGATAAGGCTCAGTGGCGGGCACGATAATGACCCTTGGGGTCCCATAAAAGACTGGAAATTTCTTGCTTACTTGCGTTTATTATCAACTTCTCAAAACAAAAATATGTTCTTCACCCGCGTTAGAAGAAACCTCTCACAACCATGTAAAACACGACGGACAAAATTGCCATATTATTAACTTAGATTTTAGAGTATTCAAAATGCCACCATTTACCTGTTGAAGACGATGCAGTTGCTCCTGATTTCGTATCCCCCTCAGATCAGTCGCTGCTGTACTTCCTTCTCAGACACCCATGTATTTGACCGACCTTGTACTCGTCTCCTCCTCTCGTTCCAACCACTGAGACTTTCCTTAAGAACCTCCTTCTGGGATAATCACAACATTCCACCAGACGCAACTCAAACTAGCCGCTGTTTATTTCCAGTTGCCGATGATACGTGCTCGGCGGCTTGCATGGAAATATTAACTGGAAACTTTCAAAGGCTGCGGCAAGCCTCTATTTCTTTTACCGCTCTATCCCCCTTCCGTATTCGCCTTGTGGTGACGGTTTCAAAAGTACATACATCTGCCATCTGTTAGCTACATATTAAACCAAGAGGAAGTCGGAAGGAAAATCGATTATCGTACTGGATTAGCACCCTCGATTGCTGTCGACTTATCGATGCGGCAAACCTCTATTTCTTTTACCGCTCTACCCCCCCCAGACGTATTCGCCTCGTGGTGACGGATTTAAAAGTACATACATCTGCCATCTGTTAGCTACATATTAAACCAAGAGGAAGTCGGAAGGAAAATCGATTATCGTACTGGACTAGCACCCTCGATTGCTGTCGACTTATCGTGGGGCAAAATTTGAATTGAATATTAAATGAGAACTGAAATTCGCCCGTCTCTCACATTCCATTCAAACCACGTTCTTATCTTTATTATATTTCTTCAATAATTTGGCCCCTGAGCTGTTCCCATCACATGCTTCTTTAATTTATAATAATTATAAATTATTGTATACTGTCCAATGGTTTATTCTTGCAAAGCAGTAGAAAGGTGTACTGCACATGGTGTACACAAATTTTCCAAATATTTTATTTTTTTATCTGTTACCTTTGCCCTCGAATTCTTTGATCTATTGATGTCCTTCACCTTACCTCAGGGTCTTATACCCAACTGACTGCTTTCATTACATCAAACAAGATATTCAAAAGAATAACAGGAATGCAGTAGAAATAACTTCTCACGGAAAAGGAATGGAACATATAATGTGAGATAAAACTTACATATTTTTGTTCAGGTGCAACATATTGCAGAGAATAAACAGCCATTATTTCTCCAAGCAGCATCAGCCAATCGATCTTTGTAGGATACCAATTGATGTGACTTACTCTACTGAACAGAAACGGCTTCAGTGGTTTTCGAACTAGACTTAATGTATTTCCATAATACAGAGACCAGATACTTTGCCTTCAAAAATCTCACACAGACTTTATTAGTTTTAAAGCCAATTAAATCACATCCTTATTTGTGGAGGTGTGGACAGGGTCAAACAGTGGGCTGTTGTCAACACAGTAATGAGCCTTCAAATTCCATAGAAGGCGTGGAGTATCTTGACCAATGAGGCGACTATAAACTTCTCAAGGAAGACCCTACTACTTGAATTAGTTAACTCAAACAGGAAACATTCTTCTATAAACTGTTAATCACATCTGGTCTCTTAGCTTAAGCTTCATAAAAGGATTCTGGGTTAATTTTTTTTTTTAAAGTAACAGTTCTTTTAAATTTTAAATAAACGTCTGTCATCTGTTAATAAGAGATGAAGGGAGAAGAAGAGGTTTCACCAGAACATTGAATATTTTGATTCTACAGAAATATAATTTCAACATGAGACATATCACATGTGGGCAGACGTGCATTTTTCAACTATTACATGTATAAGTGCCTAAATATTAAAACAAAATGGAGAAGTTCTAGTCACATTTCCTGAGCTTGGCACTCGATATGTCAATGCTCTTTAGCCAGTGATCAAGTTCCTCTGGGATGTCCGGTCTCTTGACGTCACTTCCAGCGAGCTTGGCCATCAGATCATTGACGTTGACGCCGACTATATTCTGCTTGCTGAGTGCCACTGCACGTACAAATCCGTCAGACAGTGTCACGAAGTGCTGCTCTAGGTAAATGGCTTTGTCATCCCAATATACAAGCTGAAAGACAAGGAAATGCGTCATAGCTCACGTGGAAGAACATTTTCAAAGCTAGAACAGATATTTCTCACTTGCAGACAATATTCTGTCTCTGCTTTGAATATAATTTATTTAGAAGTGCCAGTCAATTGCCTTTCGGACATCAGAAAATTTGAATTACTATCTCTGCCAGTCAATTGTCTTTCGGACATCAGAAAATTTGAATTACCATGGAAACAGGACATGATATGTGGGTGAATCTTTTCCAGTTACTTTAACTCTCTTAAGTCATCAGGAATTTGTCTGCCCACAGAGTGGGGAACCAAATTTCACGCCAAAATAATCCAATTGCTGTACAGTACAGAAGGAAAAGAATAATTTATGTGTGAGTCTTCTTAGTACCTTAGTGTGCACCTTGTAGAGGCTGAAGATGGGAATGGTCCTTCTGTGGCGTATGTTGGAGGCGCCCTGCAAGGCGTTGCCCCTCATCTTGGCCACCTCGCGGTACAGACCAGACCGGTCGTAGAAAAGAAACCGAGCGAAGTCCAGCTCTCGCAAGTACCTCGCGTTGTTCATGTGTCTCAGAAATATGTCAACATCCTGCGTTGTACAGAAACCTGTAAACAGCGAACCAAAGCTGATAGCTTCTTATCATGGGAATTTCTGAACGAAGGACAGTCCTTGAGAAGGTAATAGCCATTAAACTTATAAAGAAAATCCTGGCATTTTATAGAACCCGAAGTTTCATTACCGTGTTCACGACAGCCCGTCGCTTACCACTTATCTGAGCCAGCTGAATCCAGTCCACTTCCTGAAAACAGCGATTATTTCCTTTAACAGCATTAATCAGCTGATCTTTGTGATGGAGAAACGTCGATTTTCTTTTTTCTGTACTGACTCTGCGTTTAAATTTTTTTTTGAGATTAATTTCTGCTTCGAATAATTAATTACCTTAAAACCCTGTTTGCTATTGATTCTGAGATGCGTAGGAAACCCGTAAGTAGAATCTTCGAGCAAGGCGGACTTTGAACATGGACGGTATGCATAATTACTGCTGACTCAAAATGGAGACAAGAACGGGATAAGAGAGCGACAGGCGATTTTCACACTTTGCTGTTTTTTAATGGGCCATAAATTTTCTGAATTGGACTGAAAGACTGAGCTACAGGTCGACTGAAAGAGTGGATAGATTATTATGACACTTGAGGATCTCACCACGGTGATATCGTCTTCAGGCAAGTACCATCTCGCTAACGGACTGGTTAACCAACTCATGAACTGATTGTCCAAATAATTGTTTCACATTAATCTCTAATTTAACTATATAATATTTCTCATACTGGATACTCCTGCTACGATGCATTCTATTACTATTAGTCTATTTATTAATCATAATGGCAATAATAATGAAAATTATACCGATAATTATATTGTTAAGGGTAATAATAATGATACAAATGCTAACAGTGGTGACAATGAAACTAATTATGAAATCAATGACACTGTTCCTGTTCGAGGAGCAACCTCTCTGTGGCCTCTGCTCACCGTATATGGTGCTCCCTTCAAGGACTTTTATCTTCTTCTGGAAGAGTCTCCCAAAGCCGATGGTGAAGGCGATCCTGAGGAAGTAGTTGACATCGAACAATGCGTACAGAAGGGCGACGCCGGTCGCTATTGCAATGCAAGAGCAGCAGAGAAACATGTTTGCAGCTCAGGCGACGCGGGCACATTGAGGTGCAGCGATCAGTCACCGTTACTTCGACACCATTAACAAGTTGACCTTGAAACTGAACGGGTTTCAACTCTATCTGCCAGCGAAACACAGTACTGCCTGTCGTTGTGTACCGGCGTGAAACTACGTCTCTCGGTTCTGATGAAGGAACCTAAAATTCAAGACATTGTAGATGTGAAGAACTGGAGTGGATTCATCTGGTACAGGATAGCGATTAGTGGCGGGCTCTTGTGAGCACGACAATGAACCAGTCGTTTCCATAAAAAGTGGAGTATTATTGACTAGCTGAGCGACTACAAGCATCTCAAAAAGTGCTTTGCTCCATGCAGTTAAAAGAATATTTGGACCTGAGAAGAAGGAAGTATTTGCAAAATGGAGAAAATCATATGATGATTTTTACAAACCGTACTCCTCACCTGACACTGTTAGAGTCATAGGCTTAATCAGGGAGGATGAGATGGGGGTGACAGGTAGCGTGCACGTGGAAAGTGAGAATGCGTACATTTTGGACGGCAAACCTCAAAGAGACGCGTATTGCTTTTTGCAGATGCGAGAATCTTATGGGAATAGAATGTGGTGTTAGGGAATGGACAAAACTGGCTCAAGATACGTTCTGAAAAGTACTGGGTGTTGGAGTTTCACAAGACTTAACAGAGAACCCTACGCCATGGAGTTACAAATATCGAATCACGTAATGTGTGGTAATTATATGTAAGAATCTATCGACTGAATCCCTTCAAAAGAAGGCTGGGGTATAATCTCTTAAATAGGCTACAAGTACGCGAGATTTCAGGCCTTCTGGCAGTGAAGATGGCGATGGTCTTGCAGGTTTAGACTCGTTGCTAGATGCCAAAAATGAGAAGAATATCAGCCCATATCCACTTCCTTTCAAACACATTTACTGAATCATTTGACCGTGTATAACATATGCAGTTGAAGAAGCGTCTTTGAATATGCTAATAAGAAGAGATAAGGCGCTATTTTAAGTTGGTTTAGTCATGGTTCTTTTAATGTAACAAGGTATGGCCTTAACACTTGGTAATCAGCTGTAAGACGTAGGCCTCTAGTAGACTGGTGACAACGAACTTCCAGGAAGTCCACGGAAAACGTCCAGTCATGCAAAATAAGCAGTCGTCCCCAGCGACCCACTTGATATGCTAGCAAGACTATCCACCATTGTACCTGACTCTAAATCTCATGCTTACCTCTGGGTTAAATTTATTTTCGTGTAGTGCACTCTGCAACAGATGAAGTACTTATGCTGCTACTATGACTCGATGCCCAGAGTCTCGTTTGTAAGGTTTAATTTTGCATGAGATTACTCGTATCATTGGTATCAACATCGTAAGTTCGATTGGAGGAAGAAGTTTGAAGACGAGGTCATCATGGTCTAAGTAGCAGGGGAGATGAGAAATGCACACAACATTTTTGTCGAAAAGCCTGAAGGGCATAGACCACTCGCTGACATAGTCGTAAATGGGAGGATAATATTAAAACGGATCTTATGGATTCATGTAGCGGGATCTTCTGAACACATTAATGAACCTTCCGGTTCCGTAAAAGAAGGGGGGGGGTTTCTTGGTCAGCTGAGTGACTATCAGCTTTTCACTGGCTGATCACCGTGGGGTTAGTTACGTTTTGGATACTCGCTAGGTAGGAACGTGTGAGTGGATAAAAAGAGAACACGATTGTTCCGACCTGACTTCAGAAATAGCCTTGCCTTGGCCAATGATTAAGGCAGGGAATCTTAAATAAGTTACACCGCAAACAGAATATATAATATTTCTACAATAATTTATTTACCGTCTTTACACAAACTTAAAAATGTTGTTAAAATTACTTAAAATTATAACATTTTTTCATTAGATACTAGATCTTGTTACATTTTACATTGACGACATGTTTCGATGTTATCTCATCATCATCAGGTCTATCAATTAAAATCTGTTGCACTTCTTGCTCTGCGTATATTGATTTGTTTTATTTGTTTGATTTTTTAAGTAAAAAATCAAACAAATAAAACAAATCAATATACGCAGAGCAAGAAGTGCAACAGATTTTAATTGATAGACCTGATGATGATGAGATAACATCGAAACATGTCGTCAATGTAAAATGTAACAAGATCTAGTATCTAATGAAAAAATGTTATAATTTTAAGTAATTTTAACAACATTTTTAAGTTTGTGTAACGACGGTAAATAAATTATTGTATTAATAAACACAAACATGACGCAATTAAGATATAAATTATATAATATTTGTTTAGCATTCAATAGACTGTGTATGAACGCCGAAATTTCCCACAGTCCTGTGGGAAAATACCAGCGTAACATTATATCAAGAGGAAGCATTAGACAAAATAAATCAACAAGTAAACAGTCTGCAAGCTTTGTTCCTTGAAGGTCAGGAGTTCCGAAAAGAACCTGTGACGTCTGCTTACTCCTAGCAAGATAAACAACAACTATAAATAAAAAAATGATTTTTGAATGCAGTCACCCAGTCGACTGTCAGATTTCAATTTCCTGGCCTAAGCCTTGACAGAATAAACACGTTTTATACGAAATCTGTATGCATGGTGGTTGTCTCCACGGGAAGTTTCATTTGCCTCGCTGAAACGTTTCATAAGATTTTGCGATCAAACCGAATGAAAAATATGCTATAGAGATTAAAACACTATCCCGGAAAGCGTTTGTAAGAAATGAAATGAAATATATTTTTAACCAGTCTCTCCCAAAACTTACGTCGTATATGCACGCAGGAATAGATACGACAAAATACGGAGATAAACAAATATATATATATATATATA